AGCTATGTCACATCCCAAGACTGCATACTCCAAGACACGCTGAACACTTGATGGGGACCAAGAGCAGTACTGCTCTGGGCTGCCTATTTCTGAGGTGGCCTTGTGGTTCAGGACCATTGCAGTCAGTCATGGTGATGCTGGGTGAGGCAGAACTTTATAGACTGGTCCTCTGTCTTTCTCTAGCATCTCAGCTGCTTCAGAGGCTCTGTCTACAGGTGGACCTGGGGATGAGGTTGCACTGTGATTTGCCAAATGTGCTTCGCCAGCTTAACACAACATTCCAGGGCAAAGTCCTCATTACCAAGCTGTATTATTCTCAATAAGTGGGATTGTATATCATACTATATTGCCTGAGGTTGGCGTTAGCATTGGTTAAGGGATCTTGGCCACCTAGGCTTATGTTAAACTTAGGTTGAACTTGACCCTCAGTGTGTGTGTGTGTGTGTGTGTGTGTGTGTGTGTGTGTGTGTGTGTGTCTTTATGTGTATGCCCTGTGAACATTTATCTGTGTGTGTTTTTACCCACATGTACATACTTTTGATATATTTAATGTATTTTCCATTACCATTAGAGTCAGTCAATTCTCAGTCCATCAATTTTCATGTTGCTTGTTTTAAGACTAGAATTAAATCCATTCTTACATAGTTCTGAAAAGTGCCTGGGTTGTGGGAATTTAAACACAATTGTAGAAATGTAGTCTTAAAGTGGGTAGACCAGGTAGGCAGCAGCCTGGGAAAATTTAGTCTGAGGGCAGTAGAGTCCTGTCTGGGCATGCCATGCCTGAGCCAGCCAATTCCAAGGTCCTGTCTGGTAAGACTTCTTTTGTAAGTTTTCAGCTTCAATAAATCGAAACTACTATATTCAACAAAAAGAGTAAGGCGCAGTTCTTACTGGAAGTCAACATGTGGAGAATACCCACACAGTAAATCCACAAGAAGAATGTGGAAGTTAATTGCTCTCAATCTCCCAGCCATTGTCCCCAGTCCCCTTGGAGTGCTGTGGTTGGTGATTTATCCCTCTGTCACATTAGATTGTTAGCAGTCTAGTGAAGGCTGGGATGCCGTAGGCCTTACAAAGTGTCTGGCACACAGTAAATGCCCACCAAGTATTTGTTGATTACATTTCTGTGTTTTAAATGAATAGCAGCGTGAAGAGGAGGAGTGGGCATCTCTGCAGGGACCCTGTACACATGGCGGTCTTTCTGCCATGCCCTTCGCTTCCTGTCCTCTGGTTCTTTTGAAATGAGATGCTTTGGGGGCTGCTGGGTGACTGCTTGAAACTAATTCAATCTGCTCCAATTACATCTGGCAGGTCAATGTTTCAGAGGAACAGAGTAATCACATGACCACCACGCCTGGCAATCCAGACCCTCCGCACATCATCCCCTCCATGGTTTCCCACTCTCAGTCCCCTGCCTTACCCACAGTTCCACTTTCCTCGGGTCCAGTCCTCCACGGTTCCGTGTGATCTGAAAGTGCTCAGTGGAAAGATTCCAGAAATAATTTACAGCTTTTTAATATACTTTATTTAATAGCATTGTTGATTACTGTTCTTAATTTATGGCTTAATCTTTTCCAGCAACATATGTTCAGAAAAAGCAAACAAACAGACAAATCCATAGTATCTTCAGGGTTAAAAAAAAAAAAACCCATAGTATCTCCAGGGTTCAGTACTACCTGAATTTCAGGCATCCCTTGAGGTCTTGGAACATATCTGTAACATGAATCGCTAAACGGTCTTATTAATAAAAAAAAAAAAAACTGGAGCCAGGTGTTGGGGTGAACGCTGAAAGATCAGAGAAACAAGCCACAGCCAACCTCACCTCGCCAACTCCTCAGCCAATCCTGTTTCCTCAGACTGAAAGCCTCTGAGTCCTCACCCCTGAGGGCCACTGCCACTACTCACCTCCGGGAAACCCTCAGTCTAAAGAGTGAGTGTTCCTGTTTCCTCACAGCTTATATACCTTTTTTTCTGCCCTGCCTTACTTACTTTACTTACATTAAAGGCGTGTGTGCTTCCCAAGCAAAGGCATGAGATCTCAAGTGTTGGGATTAAAGGCGTGTGCTACCATGCCCGGCTCTGTTCCCAGCGTGGCCTTGAACTCACAGAGATCCAGGTGGAACTCTGCCTCCTGAGTGATAGGATTAAGGGTGTGTGCCATCACTCTCTGGCCTCTATGTCTAATCTAGTGGCTGGCTCAGTACTCTGATCCCCAGATATGTTTACTACACAATATAGTGGGGTACACAATATATCACCACACATCTCCCCTGTGGAAAAAGGGGCTGCTCCACATGTCAGAATTGTATTCTGTAGTTGCATTAGGCTGGGCATTTCCCAAGCAAACATCCCACTGTTCTCATCCACACCTGCTGCTCTCTGTACTTGCTTAGTGAAAACCCACAGTCTCTGCCACCTGGAATCCATACATCCATAACCCCATGTGGGATGCCTTTCTTCCCACGGTATGTCTTTCTTCTCTGTCTGACATCATGTCTTTACATCTCTGAGTTCCCACTCCGAGGTCACTGGATGAGAGGGTCTGAGCTTTGCTCATCTCTCTAGATTCCACAGCAGTGCCTTTCAATTTACCTGGAGTTAGGAATGGCAAGGGTCAGGTGTGGTGGCGCACGCCTTTAATCCCAGCACTTGGGAGGCAAAGGCAGGTCGATCTTTGTGAGTTTGAGGCCAGCCTGGGCTATAAAGTGAGTTACTGGACAGCTAAGGCTGTTACACAGAGGAACTCTATCTCATAAAAGACAAACAAACAAAATACCCCACAACCAACCAACCAAACAAACAAAACCAAAGGTCTTTGTTACTAAGAAATTTTTGATTCAGATAGGCCTTGAGTGTTTTATTCTGGTATTAAAAAACTGTTTTGTTGATATTTGTCTCTCCCTTTCCTCCCCATCACCTGAACTCCCCCAGGACCCTTCCACACACTCCCCACAGCCTCCTTCCATGTCTACATCATTTGCCCCCTTCCTCATCACATCTTCCCTGTTCTCATGGCCGCCTTTCTACCTCTATAACCCATACCTATGCTCACATCCACGTATTTATTATATGCTGAGAACGTATTTTTTTTCCTCTCTGAGTTACCTCATTTAATATAATACTTACAACTCCATCCTCTATTTTTTTTCTTTACAGTGGAGGGAAATTAACACACACACACACACACACACACACACACACACACACACAGAGAGAGAGAGAGAGAGAGAGAGAGAGAGAGAGATTCATATGACATATTCAACTCTTGGTGGACATTGGGGTGAACATTAGCATCACAAGTTTGTAGAAGTTCTATGACATTAAGTATAGCACCTTGCACATGTGAACGCTCAAGACAGTTTGTTAAGGAAATCCCGCTCACTGTGTGAGAATCTGTAGGTGGAAAGAGGAGCCAGTGTCCCCTTTTGGCTAAGGAAGTGGAATCAGGCTTCCTTGTGACTTTAGCACCCAGTTACAGTGCAGGGATTGTTCAGTGAGGCTCAGAATGAAGATGGCGACTTGAACGTGGGCCCAATGAGTCTGTTTTAAGAAGCATCTTTATCCTGTGTAGCATATGGTCATAGTCATAGAAACCCGAGCAGGTACAACACACTCTATTTTAACTTTTAGCCACTCACAAGTGTTCCAAGAAAGTTAGGTTTTCCCCTGGTGATGGAAATAGACAGACTGCTCATTTTCCAAGGGGAAGTTTTAAGTCCACATAATTGGCCTGGCTCTATCTTACCACTCTACAGTCTTAATTTAAAAAGCACAAGCGATTTGTCACGTGGAGGGGCCGGTTGATGGTGTGTCAGAAGGAATGGAGGACAGAACTGAGTGGAAGATTCACCTGACACAGGGCCATTTCATTTTGCTCTGTCCAATTTTCACTCATCCTCCTGCGCATCCCTGACATTTCCTTTCCTTTGGGAATCTTTTCCTTAGAGAGAGACCCTGCTTGTTGCTTCTCTCCCTTATATGCCATGCTTGCCCCTTGGCCTACCAACTGTTTAATGCAAAGGTTTGTGAGAGGCTCTTTGCTTGTCCATCCATCCGCTCTCCATTTTATTTCCTTTAAAATTTATTTAGGGAGAACTTTTCTGCTGTTACCTGGTTTGGAGTGTATGAGGAAACTTTAGACAAGCTTCCCTGCATTATTTACTTTGCACTGAACATCTTGATCTAGGCACGTGGCTTGTAGCAGCCTTACCTATGGGTCAGGTGTCCAAAATTCCATTCTCATTCTCAAGGACATGTAGGGGAACAGTTAGAAGGCTACTTAGGGAGAGGGCCTTGGCTATTCTGGGATGTCTCTCTACTATATTCTATGAGTCTTTAGTTCTTAGACATCTTCTTGCATCTGACCCCAGCTTCATTCTGCTGACTTATAACATCTAGCTGATAGCCTCCACAGGCTTTCAGCTTGGTTTTTGGGGATCCTTTCCATGCCTCTTCACTCCCATAGCACCCACATCTGCTGTCTCCATTTTGACCATGTAAATTTGGGTGCAAGGTTCCATCCTTTCCTCCCCTTTCTTCGGGCAAGAAACTCTAAAGCCATTCTTAATGATTTTAAATACTTGATAAATCTTGTTAGTTCTTCCAAGAACCTAATAGCTACATGTAGAGACCAAATCAGGGTACTGTTGATGGATCTCCCCCTCTCATCTTTGATGTAACTAGGACTTTTCTTCTCTGCTTTTTCACATTCCCTATATGTGGCTTGTCTGATTCATGCTGGTATAATAAGAATAACCAAAGCTGGATATTTTATGACTGATAGAAATATATTTTCTCATTGTTCTAGAGGCTCTCCGAGAAAATCAGAGAGGAGTCCAAAGTCAAGGTATTGGCATTGTCTCGCTGAGTCATTCTGTTGAAAAAGGGAGATAAGAGTAAGATCAAGAGAGGAGGAAGCTTCTTCCTCTGCTAAGGAATTCGTTCATGACAATAGCTTCAAAGTACAAATGAAGGCAGAGCCCCGATGGCCCAGTCACACATTGAAGAGCACGCATCTTTAATACTATTCCTTTAGCAATTAAATTTCAACATGCACATGGGCGAGGTCTTAAACTGCAGCATTTAGAACCAGCTTGGGAGCTCTCACATGAGAGGTGGGATTTGGGATCAGTTTCAGGGTTGCATGGTTGGTCAAAGCGTTCTATTCCCAGTAAAGTCATCTTCAGCTGGTATTGGAGGATGGCATAAGCAGCTGTTAATAGGCCAGAGGAAACAACAAGCATGATTCAACATGACAGAATAGCAATGGTACAGTAAAATGAGCAAATGAGGAATGCTAAGCATCCGTGGCTGACAGTATCAATGAGGCCTGAGTTATGAAGGTACTAAGCACATTGGGAAGAAGAGACATGTTTTGTCATTCTGTCTTTCTCTCAATCAGACAGACTTTCTTCCCTTGTAACCTTTAAAAATCTTTCTCTTATTCATAAAATTAAAAGTTTTTTCATAAGCTAAAATTAATAAATTATTTCTTTTTTTGGAATTAAAATATAATTATACCATTTCCCCCTTCCCTTTCTTTTATCTGACCCCTCCCATGTATCCCCCTTGATATTTCTCGAATTCATGGCCTGTTTTGCTTTGTTTACACACACACATACACACACATACACACACATACACACACACACACACACACACACACACACACACTCCTAAATATATAAATATAACTTGCTCAGTCTGAAGGATATTACTTGTATGGTTATGATTTCAGGGCTGACTACTTGGTATTGGATGAGTAATTGAGGGTTATCTTTCCTGGAGTTGACTATTAGCCTGCTCTTAGAATTCTTTAGTTGCCTATAATTCTTTGTCTAGAGTTGGGGCCCTGTGACCTTTCCTACTTCCACGTTAGCCTGTCTATTAGCATTGCCCTACTTCAGGTCATGTTTAGGCAGCCATGTTGATGGACTTCATGGGTGTAGTTTCTCTGACATTTCTAGGAGATGCAATCTCCCAGTAAATCTCTTGTTCTTCTGGCTCTTACAGTCTTTCTGCCCGCTGTTCCACTATTATCCCTGAGCCTTTGGTACAGCCGTGCTGCAGATGTCTCAGTTGAGGCTGGGCATCTCATAACCACTTGTTCTCTGAATTTTGATCAGTTTTTTTTGTTATTGCCTTTGTTGCGAAGAGAATTTTTTTTTTTTGGATGAGGGGTGAGGACTACACTTATCTGTGTGTATAAGGGTAAGTATTTAGAATGCAGTTAGAGATTATGTTGG